GGTGAGTAGAAAATGAAGGCTAATCATGTTTTGGGTGTACTTTTCCCTTAACTTCCAAAATATCAAACAACATTATGTGAAACCGTGTTGGACGGTTATAGCCACACTGATGTACAATGGCCAAAAATCCTATAGAATAAAAGTTTACCTCTTAAATTGCATTGAATACGCTTTGACACAAAGACATTTTGATAAACAAAACCAACTCTTATTAGTCACTGAAATTAACGACCTGACAAACAAATTACAAATATTGCCTTTGTTTGACAGTAACACAAACATGGAGTACATCTGGCTTCTCTCTCTGAAAGAAAATTCAGTTTGAAGTTGAACTTAACCTGGGCCTCATATTTTCTCTGTTTAAGGGATCTAAGGAAAAGCTAAATCTTTAAGATCAGATCATCTCTGAGATAAAACCTCACAACTTAACAGCAGCAAAAAAGTATTTACATCCACCAACGGGTAAAAGTATCTCTACCTTCATGCGTTAGCTTTCAGTAACCTTTTAGAAGCTTAACGCGTGACTCGCCCCATGTAGCATCTTTGTCTGAATGGTGGGATTATACTAACCTTGGAAACTTGCCGTCTGAGACATCCAAAGTTCCAAAAACTAATTTCAGAGAGATGTTTATCAACCCCCGACCCCTGGGGGCCAACTTTTCAACAACTGTTTATTAACTACTAGTCATTTTTTCTTAAACACAAAACAGAACAGTATTGGTCTTTTATTTTCAATTTTCAATAGTTTCAATCTTGTAGCCTTGAACATCAGTTGCACTTTCTGTTTTTCATACAGCATACAGTGCACCTCGCCATGGTGTCATCATTCCTCACCATGGCCGGTTTTAGATAGGGGCCAACGGGGGCCAGTGCCCCTGTAGATCATGTCCTGGCCCCTGTACTGAAGGCAGGACATTCTAATGATGATCTGCGCTGGAACAGACATGGTTACTGATAGGTCCTTTGGATCTATTTTATTCTTTTCATTACAAATTCTGTTTTACTAATTATTCAAAAACAATAAGGATATAGCTTCAGTGGTATTGAGATAGGATCCAAGTTTTCATCTGCCAAATTTTTGTTTTTCACAACAAATAAAAAAAAAAATGCTCTAATTTTTACAGATGAATTTAACAGTTTTTATTCCAATTTACATTTTGTAGAAAACGGTAGTTTAAACTTAAATTAAGTCAAAAATATGTAAAATTCCTAAATTCTAAATGTATATTGACCTCATAAGAAATATATTTTCATTGAACCTCATGGAAAAGAAATTTCACTTCATGCAGCTATATTAATATATTTGAATATCTTGCCCTGTTTTTAATTTCATGCTTTTCTGTGCCCCCCATGAAAACACGCTGGCCCCCTCCTTGCCCCCTGATACATTTGGTCTAGATCCGCCCCTGTTCCTCACCTTCCCTAGACGTGGATATACTTTAGTTTATTCTGCTTTAAGATTAGTCCTATGTTTTCGTTTTTTACTCGAGAATTCAACCTCTGCCGTTTCCCAGGATGCACAGCTTTGAGTGGTAACTGGGTGACTGCCAGAGAGTAACCCAGAGAAACTTATCAGACTGATCCAATCAGCTCTCTGACAACCAGTCGCCTGGAACGCTGGTTGAACAGAGCATTGCTTTGGACAGATACGCTGCACAGGTTTCCCCAGCACCTCCTCCTTACACGCCGCTCTCTTTTATTGTCTGCGCAGTCATAGTAGTTCTTATCCACACATGATGCTCTCACTCGCATTGAAAAAACAGCATCTCACAAAGTCAAAAATCCGGGATAATTTATCCAACACGATATCAGGGAGACTCCCCGAACTTCCGGGAGGCTTGGGATGTCTGAAAAATGTTGATTTAATCTGATATAAAATGACGCTTTCCTCCCTGCCTCTAACTCCCTCCAGGTCAGTCAGGTCTTGGTTTTGGTGATGCCTTGTAGGCATGAATGAAGCAGTGTCCAGTTTTAATACACTTTAGACACAAACATTTGAATCCATTAACACACATTACTCTAGAAACACAGATGCAAACCCCAGGAAGGGTTTGTTGACCAGGAGATTATGAATATGTCATGATTTTATCAAGAGCTCAGACCCACATGCAGAGAGACCAATTCAGAGAGACCAAGGGAAAGGTTTAACAGGTTTATTTAGGAGTTGGTGAAGAATCCAGTGTTGCTCTGAACACTGCTCAACCAGAACTGGAAGGTGAGGGTAAGACACTGCGGTTAGTTCAGGCTCAGAAGGAAATTTGATTCTTGAGAATTTGGTAGATAACTCATGTTTCCAGAGAAGTTGCAGATTCTTAGACTCCGGTCTGTGTGTGGAAGTTCCAGTGTTTGTCTGATTCCGGACAGGAAACGCGCATGCTCGCCAAAGGCGCCTAACATTCGCCCTGTGCTTGTGCCACTCTTAATTAAAAACACTTATCATTTATTGATCAGTATGTAAGAATTTAATATTTAAAGTACTTTCAGAAGTTTGTATTATGGATATGACTGGACTTCTTTAACGACACAAACATAAGGGGATGGGTTAAAAGCAGAGAGGGAATTTCCCCATGGTGGGACCNCTAATTATTCAACAACAATAAGGATATAGCTTCAGTGGGATTGAGATAGGATCCCAGTTTTCATCTGTTAAATGTTTTTTTCCCCACAACAAATAAATGCTCTAATTTTTACAGATGAATTTAACAGTTTTTCTTGAGTTCTAATTCAAATGTATAGAAAACGGTAGTTTAAACTTCAATTAAGTCAAAAAAATATGTAAAATTCCTAAATTTTAAATGTACGCCACATAAGAAATAGAATTTTCGTTGAACCTCACTGAAAAGAAATGTCACTTCATGCAGCTCTCTTAATATATTTGAATATCTTGCCCTGTTTTTTATTTCATGCTTTTCTGTGCCCCCCATGAAAACACGCTGGCCCCCTCCTTGCCCCCTGATACATTTGGTCTAGATCCGCCACTGTTCCTCCCCTTCCCTAGACGTGGATATACTTTAGTTTATTCTGCTGTAAGATTAGTCCTATGTTTTAGTTTTTTACTCGAGAATTCAACCTCTGCCGTTTCCCAGGATGCACAGCTTTGAGTGGTAACTGGGTGACTGCCAGAGAGTAACCCAGAGAAACTTATCAGACTGATCCAATCAGCTCTCTGACAACCAGTCGCCTGGAACACTGGTTGAACAGAGCATCGCTTTGGACAGATACGCTGCACAGGTTTCCCCAGCAACCTCCTCCTTACACGCCGCTCTCTTTTGTTGTCTGCATAATCAAAGTAGTTCTTATCCACACATGATGCTCTCACTCGCATTGAAAAAACACCACCTCACATAGTCTAAAATCCGGAATAATTTATCCAACACGATATCAGGGAGACTCCCCGAACTTCCGGGAGACTTGGGATGTCTGAAAAATGTTGATTTAATCTGATATAAAATGACGCTTTCCTCCCTGCCTCTGTTGCTCTGAACACTGCTCAACCAGAACTGAAAGGTGAGGGCAAGACACTGCGGTTAGTTCAGGCTCAGAAGGAAATTTGATTCTCGAACTTGAAGAGGAGAATTTGGTAGATAACTCACGTTTCCAGAGAAGTTGCTGATTCTTAGACTCCAGTCTGTGTGCGGATGTTCCAGTGTTTGTCTGATTTGGTGGAGGGCGGACAGGGTTTACCCAGAATGCGGTTGTTTATAGGCGAACGGAGAAGCTCACTGACACTCAGATTTCCTGCGGTACTTGAGCGGGTCGTAGTGGAGATGAATCCCTTACTCAGTGTGAAGCTCAAATGATCTCTTGAGGGAAAGTGGATTCAAACCTCCAGTTTGAATCCTCAACTCAGTTTGAAGCTCAGATGATCCTTCCAGCGAGAGAAGATCCAAAACATCCAGTTTGCAGGATGACTTCCTGCCGAGAGGCAAAGAGAAAAATAAGATTAAAACTCAGGTTGACAAGAACTCAGTTTGACTCAGCAAAACACAGCTTGGATAGAGTACCGAAAACTGGCAAACACTCTGGAATCGAGGTAGTGGCGGTCAGCAGCTTAAGAGCGCTCCGTAATGAGGTAACCATCTGCAGGTGTGTAGGGAGGCGGACCGGAACCAGGCGTCCCCTGGTGGAGGAAGGGAGACACACAGAAAAAACACATACACAGACTTTCCTGACAGAATATATTAATTAGGTAGAACTAAAAGTTATAGTTAATTAATAGGTCATTCAAATCAAGGGTAAAACCAATTAATGATTTTTACTTTCATGGTTATACCTATAATTTGCTTTCTCACCAGCTGGACTCCTGGATTGAATTGAGTAAATTTTATTTATATTGCGGCAATTCATAACACGTCATCTCAAGGCGCTTTACAGAGACAACTGGCTGTTAAAATCCAGTTGCTTTAAGAAGTATGAATCGTCTTTGTTTATTAGATTTTTAATCTTCTGCATCCCTTTACACCAAACCCAGCTACANTGGTGGGACCATAAAGGGATTTACATTTTTTTTTACATAACCATTCATAATTGATCACTAACCAAACCTGGATATGTTATTGTGCTATAATTAAACATGTAGAAATATGAGATACTCATAATGCGAGTGACTAAAAAAGAAAGCAATTGAAACCATACTGTGTAACTTTGAGCCAAGAGGGAACTTTTGTCTACACTTTGGCTCAGGAGGGGGCAAATTAGCACGCATTTTGGCTTCAGAGAGGGCATATAGTGAACATTTTGGCTGGATTTTGGTTTATGATAAAAACTGCATGTGCCAGGATATAAAACCAAGTTAAAAAATGTTTTTTTAATGTAGGTATTGATAAACTCTTTCACCACAGTTCAGAAGGTAAATGATTTAGTAGAGTGACAATGATCAGAACACCATCTTTCCATAAAAAAAGTACATTTTTCAAACTTGTGGAGTTTAACTGCTTAATCTTTATTTGTTATATGCTGACAGCTTTGCAGAACTGATCACGTCTTGCATACAGGGTAAATCCCAAACCCCTCATATTGTATCATATATTGTATTGTGACCTTTGTTGACTCCCAAACGGCACTATTGCATGTTTTTTAGCTCCTAAGGTAGAGTTCATTTTAGCATTCATTTTGGCTCCAGAGAGGATGCTTTAACATGCATTTCTGCTCTCAATAGGCCCTCTAACGCACACTTTGACTCCCAAGAGCAACTAGCATGCGTTTCAGCTCCCAAGGGGCAGGGCTGTTGGAAAAAAAAAAATGTTTGGGCGTTATTTTTTAATTTATGGCTGCCCGATATAATATCAATCTTTCAGTTCCTAGTATCGATTTTTTAAAAGCGACAATCGGAACGTATAGTGATACTGCAATATTGTGATAATATTGTATCTTGACCCAAGTATCGTGACACGTATCGTATCACAGCACCCATGCCAATACTTACCCCTACCAAGGGGGCACTTTAGCACGTGTCTNAAGACTTGAGACTTGGACTTGTAAAACATGACTTTCTGGTCTGGTTCATAAATATGCTGACTATCATTTTTTAAAAACAACTTTTCTCTTAATTGTTTAGCTTCACTGATACTGTTAGTATATCACGTTATTTTAATACTATAAAAATAATGTAACATATTGTCAGGCAACACTGTCTAACTGTTTACCTAGTGATTAGCTTAAATCGAGATCTACAAAAACAGTTTTTAGCTCAATGTTCAACACTTTGTGTTTTCTGGGTAAGAAAAGAAGAAGAGTGGTGATCAGACAGTAAAAGTGATAAAACAGAGGAACATTTAAAAATAAAATATTGTTCACAAGTCTGAGATTGCGATTTCAATCAAGTCTGAAGTCCTTCAAATACAAGTCCAAATCGAGTCTGAAGTCCTACAAATAAAAGGCCAGGTTGAGTCTGAAGTCCTTCAAACAGGAGGCCAGGTTGAGCCTAAAGTCCTACAAATAAAAGGCCAGGTTGAGCCTGAAGTCTTTCAAACAGGAGGTCAGGTTGAGCCTGAAATCCTTTAAATACAAGTTTAAGTTAATCTGAAGTCCTTCAAATACAAGGCCAGGTTGAGCCTGAAGTCCTTCAAATACAAGGCCATGTTGAGCCTGAAGTCCTTCAAATACAAGGCCATGTTGAGCCTGAAGTCCTTCAAACAGGAGGCCAGGTTGAGCCTGAAGTCTTTCAAATACAAGGCCAGTTTGAGTTTGAAGTCCTTCACGCACAAGGCCAGGTTGAGCCTAAGTCCTTCAAACAGGAGGCTAAGCTGAGCCTGAAGTCTTTCAAACAGGACGCCAGGTTGAGCCTGAAGTCCTTCAAATACAAGGCCAGGTTGAGCCTGAAGTCCTTCAAACAGGAGGCCAAGTTGAGCCCGAAGTCTTTCAAATACAAGGCCAGGTTGAGTTTGAAGTCCTTCACGCACAAGGCCAGGTTGAGCCTAAAGTCCTTCAAACAGGAGGCTAGGCTGAGCCTGAAATCTTTCAAACAGGAGGCCAGGTTGAGCCTGAAATCCTTCAAATACAAGTTTAAGTCAATCTGAAGTCCTTCAAACAGGAGGCCAAGTTGAGCCCGAAGTCTTTCAAATACAAGGCCAGGTTGAGCCTAAAGTCCTTCACGCACAAGGCCAGGTTGAGCCTGAAGTCCTTCACGTACAAGGCCAGGTTGAGCCTGAAGTCCTTCACGTACAAGGCCAGGTTGAGCCTGAAGTCCTTCACGTACAAGGCCAGGTTGAGCCTGATGTCCTTCACGTACAAGGCCAGGTTAAGTTTGAAGTCCTTCACGTACAAGGCCAGGTTGAGCCTGATGTCCTTCATATACAAGGCCAGGTTGAGCCTGAATCCTTCAAATACAAGTCCAAATCTAGCCTGAAGTCCTACAAATACAAGGCCAGGTTGAGTCTGAAGTCCTTCAAATACAAGTCTAAGTTGAGTCTGAAACCTTTAAATACAAGGCCGGGTTGAGTCTGAAGTCCTTCAAATACAACACTAGGTTGAGTCTGAAGTCCTTTAAAAACAAGTCTAAGACGAGTCTGAAGTCAAATTCCAAACTCGAGTCCCTATCTCTGCTATGAGCATCTAGTCATACCCACAAGGGTAGTTTTACCACTGGTTCTGCTTTTGATGGGATATTGTTGGACAAAAATCTATATATATATCTATATACATTCATCCATTTTCTAACACGCTAAATCCCAAGTGGGGTCGCGAGGGGTGCTAGTGCCTATCTCTCACTGTCAATGGGCGAGAGGCGGGGTCAACCCTGACAGGTCGCCAGTCCATCGCAGAAAATTCCCGCACACACCTAAGGAGAATTTAGAGAAGCCAATTAACGTAACAGTCATGTTTTTGGACTGTGGGAATGAACAAATTAACTCTAAACACCTGCAAAAGATTCCTGAGGCCTTTAAATCCTCCCAGCCTGGTTTATCACTTAAAAACCCAATCATGGATCAGACTGCCGACCTGACTGCCGTCCAGAAGGCCATCATGGCCACCCTCAAGCAAGAGGGTATGACACAGCAAGATATTTCTGAAGGAATAGGGTGTTCCCAGAGTGCTGTATCAAGGCACCTCAGAGGTGCAGAGGGAACAGAAAGTTGAGAGACGCAAGAACCAACACTGTGGATGAGCTAAAGGCTGCTATTGAAGCATCCGGGGCCTCCATAATACCTCAGCAGTGCCACAGGCTGATTGCCTCCATGCCATGCCGCATTGAAGCAGTCATTTCTGCAAAAAGATTCCCAACCAAGTATTGAGTGCATAACAATACATAATTATTTAAAGGTTGACTTTTTTTGTATTAAGAACACTTGTCTTTTATTGGCCGGATGAAATATGCTAATTTTGTGAGATAGGACTTTTGGGTTTTTATGAGCTGTATGCCAAAATCATCCATGTTAACACAATAAAAGACCTGAAATGTTTCATTTAGTGTACAATGAATCCAAATACATGAATGTTCAAGTTTTATCATTACATTATGGAAAATAATGAACTTTATGCTAATATTTTGAGACGGACCTGTGTGTATATGTGTGTGTTTATGTAAATATATATATATATATATATATAAGCAAAAACACCCAATGGACCAGAAGTGTACATTGTTTATTTTACTGTACTGTTAATGCTCTGTCATAGCCACAGAGGAGCCTGAAAAAAATCCCAGCTTTCTGTTGTTTTTATTCATTCTTTCTTTAATTATTTTTAGAAATCATTTAAAAATGGATTTCAGATATAAAACCATATTAAAGCTAACATCTTATCTGAATTTTGGTTAGAAAAAAGCAAAAAGTCTGAATGGCTGCTCTGTGTGTGAGTTCAGGTGGATGAGCAGATGGCTCTGCTGCAGCATGAGAAGATGGATCTGCTGAAGAGGCTGGAGGAGGACCAGGAAGATCTCAATGAGCTGATGAAGAAACACAAAGCTCTCATTGCACAGGTTTTATTTTTTATCAACTGCCCCATTAATAACCTGAAGAGAAATACACCGCTTTAGTCTGACTCTGTCCCCTTCAGTCCTCTAGTGACATATGTCAGATCAGAGACCTACAAGCTGAGCTGGAGGAGGTGAAGAAACAGAGACACACACTCCAAGAAGAGGTAGGATCTGTTTGACAGGCTGAAAATAAACACAGCAGCATGGGCTTTATGATCTGAATGCGCTTCAAATGAGAATTTAATAGCTTTCAGGGTCATTGAACGTACTTAATGTAACAGGATGCTGCAGGTGGAACACAGGATAGGTGTGAGTTGAATTGAAATGCTTTGTTGTCACATTTCCCATGCAGCTTCAGCAGTGTGCATCCAGGGTGCAGTTCCTAGAGTCGTCCACTGTGGGGCGCAGCATAGTCAGTAAACAAGAGGCCCGTGTGTGTGACCTGGAAAATAAATTGGAGTTTCAGAAGGGCCAAGTCAAGAGGTTTGAGGTGAGATCAGATAAAGCTTTTCCAATTCCACTACATAATTATCACCGCTTCTGATACTGTAATCCCTGCGTGACTCTCGCTCGCAGTTTTGGCCTAATTTTCTGTAATCTGCAGGTGCTGGTGCTGCGTTTGAGGGACAGCGTGGTTCGTCTAGGAGAGGAGCTGGAGCAGAGCGCCCAGGCTGAAGCACGAGAGAGGGAGAACGCCCGTTACTTCCAGCAGCGCCTGCAGGAGATGAGGCTGGAGATGGAGGAGCTGAGCCAGAGGGAGCAGGACAGCAGCCGCAGACGCATGGAGCTGGTAATCTGCTCTGACCCCGCACTTAACCTTTACTGTTTGCAAACTTGCACACAGCAGCTTCATTTTTATCAAACCGATCCTTTTTGGGTGTTTGTGTTTAAAAAAAGGTTTATAATCTTTTACATTTTAATAACCTGGAAGACAGAGGTCATGAAATTACAAGTTACTTCTGAGCAGCTGCAGTTATTCCAGAAAAGTATGGAGTGCATTTTGTTCCATTAATGTTGAAAGCCGTAAAACACCTTTGTAAATGCACATTTGAAAAACAAAAGCAATAAAAAATGAAAAAAACTTGTTAAAAAGGGAAGATTTGCAGGGAAACCTTGCTGTTTTGTTAGATTCAATTTACTAACATTTTTATGTTTAAAATTTTATTCTCACAGATTTTCATAGATTTTCAAACTATTTTTTCTTTATTTCTGTTTTTCATAGTGAGTTTTAACTTCTGTGGGGGACTGATCCTTTGACAGCTAGCAGTGGTATCTTTATTAAGTGCAAGTGTTAAAAACCATGCAATTCTCAGTCTATAAAAACAGTTAAAAAGAAACAGATTTAATAGAAAAACATAAAAAATATAAAATGATTTGAAAAAGTAAAGGAGAAAATGGCAAAGAACATCTCAAGTCCATTGACCCGTCCTGCCCTCTCTCCGCTGGCTGGTGCTTGGGCTCCCCGGTGCATTGGTGGAGCTCAGGGTTTGATGGTGGATGCCCAGGCGGGTACTGGTTTATTCCTGGCAGCTGCTTCTCTGGGCCCGATCGGGGCTTATTGTATCTCTTATACTGAATCCGTTGATTGTTTTTTGCGGGGGTAACTTTCTGAAGGACTGGTGTGGACATCCTTGGCACGTTTTAAATCTTTTACAAGAAAAGTTTTTTGGTTAAAATGTTTTCCAAAGTTTAATTTCTTGATTTACCTTTTCAAATTTTCATTAACAGAACATGTTCTTTGCTTGCAACAGTAATGGAACAACATTTACTCAATCGAAAACAGGAATATTTAAATGGAAATTATAGTTTTTTTTATTCTCTTCAATAACAATAACAGCAATTCATTTCTAATGGAAAATATTGCTGAAATTGAGTGGTTATGGGAACAACATGAGATATGAGATGATGGTTTTAAACTCTAGGAAATCTTAAGTCATATTTACCAACAATTTTCATTCACGGCACACCGTTCATTTCTGGAAAGGTATACATATCATAGTTTTCAGCTTTCATTACCAACCTATGACAACATCCAATCTGAGACACTCTGAATATATCTGAGCTGAGACAGTTTATAAGACACTCAATAAAACCTGAGAGAGGCTGAGTGACCAGCTGAGACCTTTAGGTAATGACTTCAGCTGTGTTTTCCCAAACACATCCACCTTCTGGACTGTGGACTGCAACACTTTTGCCTCTCAGATTTAAATAAAGATGATGGCTTATAATGAAAGAAGTAGATGTGTGACAAATTCTTTGCTATTCATTCATTTATATATATAAATAAATAAATAAATAAATAAATAAATAAATAAATAAATAAATAAATAAATAAATAAATAAATAAATGTAAAACTCTTCTTCTCCCACCTTGGGTGGTCTCCCTTGTTTCCTCCAAGCTTGGGTCCTCTACCACCTTGGAGCTTGAGGGTTCTGCACAGCATCTTTGCTGTTCCTAGAACTGCACTCTTCTGGACCGAGATGTCCTCCTCAAGTTTGGGGGTCACTGCCCCGAGGGCCCTAATGACCATGGGTACCACTGATGCTGTGACCTTCTAACCAGTTAGCAACTTAGTGCTAGTAGGTTCCCAATGGGAAATGACATTGGAAACAAGTAGCACTTAATTGGTGACTTAGAAACGACGCTGTCAAGGAACGCTATGGACAGAGGAAACATGCAAGAGGAGGAGACGAAGATGTTGTGGAAGAGGACGCCAGGGCGGCAGAAGCTTGGTTTGGTGTAGAAGGCTTCCAGCCGTACATGTTGGAGCCCTTGCCTCGCAACGCTGCCAGTTCTGTTAGCTCTACGCCTGCCGAAGACACAGACGTCCATCCCCGTGAACACTGGGACGCAACGCAATGGGAAAGGAAATTATTCTGATTTCAACCATTACTGCGACATGTGAAACATGATGCTATGACTGAAAAAAATTAGATTGACAGATGACCGCTGATATATGATTGCTGTACAGGCTGACGTATAACTAACTCGCCTGCATAAGATAATGAAAAAACGCCCACAGTTTTTAAGACAGGATCTTTTTTTTTTTTTATAGAAATTTTCTAAATTTTGGGACAATATCGTCTGAAAAAGAGTACATTTATATACATGTTTAAGCAAGAATGATTTGACATTTAAATATGATTCCCCTATGACTTTAAATCTCTCATCATCTTCAGACTGTCCTGAACTATTTTATGTCCACTTTTTTCTCATGTGTGTCCGACCACAGTGGATTAAGACACGCATACAGCAAACTGAGCCCATCCTTAACCTGAGAAGTACCTTATTACAGGCGGACTGGCAGGAAAAGCCTTCCTTCAGGCGATGACTGAAAGTAAAGTACACCTTGGAGGCAGTTATAGCTCTGCTGTTCTCATTAACAGAAGCAGCAGCTGTTCTATTATCTGGGACATTTGGAAAACATCATTGTCATTACTGAGAGCGTGATCACAGCAGCGCTGATTGCACAAAGAAGAGTGTCTAAGCTTTCACTCGAGAACACTCTTTTTCTTATTTTCAACCCAATTTTTCCTTGTAACGTCACTAGAAGAGATGATCTGAGCTAATCATTAAAAACAAGCACAAGCAAAAATGTCTTTTTGAAACATAAGATGTGTTTGTGAAGGTGGCCACGTTATTTTGGCTCTTAGCTCTAGAAAATACTTCAGCTTTATATGCTGCTTACTTTTTATTAGCTTAGCAAACAGTGAGACAAAGCTACAGCATCCCTTTGTAAATCATCCCTGGGGAGTTACTAAAACGTTCTGCTCTCATGCTCTGGGTTCTCCGACAGCCTGTTTATCTTTCCTAGTCCTAAACCTGAGGAATATGTTTACTTTCCTGATCAATGAAGTATTAAAGTAATTTCAGATTTTCCAATAAAGTGAGAAATGTAACAAAACACAAATGTGATGCTTAATAAAGCAGTATGTGTTCAGACAGCAGTAGCCATTTGCTATAAAATGATTAATGTTCAGTTAGGTAACTCCCGCAAGTTACCACCTTAAGATGGTGGGGTTGTGTGAGTGCCCAAATAATCCTAGGAGCTATGTTGGCCGGGACGTTATGCCCCTGGTAGGGTCTCCCATGGCAAAAGTTCCTAGGTGACGGGTTAGACGAAGAGAAGCTAAGAAGACCTTTATGTCGATATACGTTCCCACCCTCACCTATGGTCATGAGATCTTTGTAATGACTGAAATGAAAAGATCCCGGATACAAGCAGCCAATAAGAGTTCCTTTCACAGGGTGGCTGGGCGCAACCTTCGAGATCAGGTGAGAAGCTCAGTTACCCATGAGGAGCTCGGAGTAGAGTCGTTGCTCCTAAACGTCGAAAGGAGCAGGCTGAGGTGGGCATCTGTTCTGGATGCCTCCTGGTCGCCTCCCTTGGGTGGTCTTCCAGGTGTGTCCTATTGGGAGGAGGCCTTGTGGAAGGCCCAGGACACGCTGGAGGGACTATGTCTCTGAGCTGGCCTGGTGTCGCCTCGGGGTCCCCCCCAGAGCAGCTGGAGGAGGTGTGTGTTGATCGGGAAGTCTGGGAATCTATGCTTAGACTGCTACCTTCGTGAACCTTGCCTTGGATAAAGACGAAGAAAATGGACGGAATGATGTTCAGCTAGGTACTTCATTTGAGCTAAGCTAACGTCGTCTTCAGTGTTTTTTTTATTGAGGCTTGAATGATCACATACACATAGCTGACACAGATATTTACATTTACAATCAGTTTGTAGCTGCTGTAAGTATTTTTATTTTTTATTTCCAGCATTGTGTTTATAAAATAGGTGATGATGGGGATGGATGTTGGATATGGAGCCAGAACTCTGTTCTCTTAGAGAATTCATTTAAATTCAGTTTGTTTCTATACCAACAATTCACAACACATGTCATCTCAAGGCACTTTACAGTTCACCAGATCATCCAGTCAGATTGATAAAAAGTTTCTATCTAAGGCAAACCAGTGATCACATCGACTCATTGAATCGAAGGCAATCCCTCACACTAAGCATGCTTGTAGCGACAGTGGAGAGGAAAAACTCCCTCCTAACAAGAAGAAACCTCCAGCAGAACCAGGTTCAGTTAGACCCATCTGGGAGGCTTACCGGGGGTCAAGGAGACAGAAGCAGACACACCATAAGAAGCAGAGATACAAAAGGTAGCTGTAAACTAGCTCGACAGGCGGCCCAGTCCAGGAAACACACAGCCAGGCAGACGAGCTCTGAGCCAGCTCAGTAACAGACAGAGTAACAGGACTTCTCTGAAAAAGCCTGAAGATGCTTTAATTTTTCCCTTGTTTAAACATCCTCTTACTGTATGCATTCATACAAAACTGTCTAGATTACTGAAAATGTGGAAACTTTCCTCTTCAACTGCTTTGAGATTAGTTCCATCCATCTTACCATCGACCCAAATAGCTTCCCTGCCTCGCTGATAACAAGCACCCCGCGGGATAATGTTGCCACCTCTATGTCTCAAGGTAGAAACCATGTCTTCATGGTGGTTTTCGTATTACATGTGTTTTAGGTGAAAACATTACAGTCTCACCTGACCAGAGCACCTTTTAGAATAAAGAATTAAGAGTCTTCATTGATATGATGTCCCTAAAATGAAAGTTTTCTCACAGATTTTTCAGAGAACTTTCCCTTTATCCGTGTTTGTTTTGTCGCAGACATCGACAAGAATAAAAACTAAATATGGAGCATTTTGCCGCTTTCCTTTAGCAGTTGCTTTCGTTTTTCGAATTCAATTCAATTCTGTTTATTTATATAGCGCCGATTCACAGCACATGTCATCTCAAGGCACTTTACAGTTCACCAGGTCATACTGACAAATGGATTCAAGGTTTTCTATCAAAGGAAAACCAGTTGATTGCATCGACTTATTGACTCGAAGGCAATCCCTCAGGGGGCCAGGCAGACGAGCTCAGAGCCAGCCACCATGTCAGAGGATGAAGAGAGCACATGCAGTTAGTCACAGTCAGAGAAACAGGACAACACTGAAAAACAGGGAAATCTCCAACATTTATAAACTAAGCTGATATTTCTCTTTCTCTCTGGTATTCCACTTCTACTATTCAATGGATTGATTGTTGGACTTCATGTCGCATAGTTGTCCTGACATCAGAATCTGTCCCCCAAGCTTTAGACTTTCTTCCAGAATGCTCTCCTACCTACACTTTCATTGGGTTTTTAGATGGGTAATACTCTATTTAAAGATAATGGATTGAACAGAGCTTTGTGAGACGTTTCAACCTTTTAATGTTGTTTCATCACCTAAACTTACTAAACATTTTCATATCTTTCTCCCTGACCAGTTATGTTGAGTCAAACTTGCTTTATCTTCTATCAAGAGGGTCTTTTTCATACAGTAGTACAATTCCTTTTTAAACTGCAATGTTTGTACTAAAATTTAATTTCTCTCATAATTTGTCGACATTAAGATCTAAAGAGAAGCATCATTTCCTGCTCAGACCCTGTAATTCAGTGAAAGGGTGAAAGTCAGAGTAAACAAATTTGCATATGTAGGGGTTCACCTCAGTGGCTGAAAGTTGGAGGGGATTCTGCTGGGAGTTGCAGGGAAGTGGGCTGCCATTTGACTGGCGTTTGACTGGGAAGGGCCATTTTGAATGGCTGTTACTGTAAGATGAAGCACACAATCTCTTTAACAGTATGCTAAGTTAGAAAAAAATAGTCCATTATTATAAGTTTGTTCCACTGAAGTTTAAACTAACAGTGATAGAGATTTCTGTTTTTAGTTTAATCCAACAATCTGGTGGAAGACTTGCCATCAGAAGATCTGGTGAACAGTGAGTTCTGGCTTCACTCAGAGGAAGGTTAAAACTGGACTCCATGAAGTGGATTAAATCACAAAAGCCTTTCCAATCTACCGTACTTGTTGCTAGCATCTCTTTTCTGTCATCTCACAGAGGTTTTCTATCATCACATTCTCGCCTTTTGAGCACAGTAGAAAAGTTGACGCTTCTCCGCCATGGAGCAAGAATTATTGCTTACTATTTGTGTTGATAATTGGATGTTGAATATGGAGTTTATGGTTCATATTTACAAACAGAACCACATAGAGTTCACTTTGCATCCTTGTCTCCATTAAATAGGGCAAATAATCCCAGATTGGACTATGGATCGATTCATATTTTTGCTCTAGCATGTCTCCGCTACTGTATCACTACTCTTGTGAATATCAGTAAGGCTCAGCTTAAAGGTATAGTGAAGAATTTTCAGGAAGTTTTGAAAAGATCTGCCCTCTCCAAAAAAATGCACATGCACAACCCCTAGACCCGCTCCTGAGAGGGGTCGTCTATTAAAAGCTTGTGAGAGCGTGCACAAGCCCATTTCTCTTAATGCATGCTCTGTTTAAAAGCTGCTGTTTGCATCGCTCATACAAGCTTACCTTCTAAAAGAAGATTTGCTATTTTTCCACTATGTTAGACTCACCACCGGTAAGTGAAAATGACGACGAGCACTTATGTAAAAATAACACCAGAATGATTGACAATTGGAAGGACCACATAATTTAATGATCCACCTGGAAAAAGAACATCCTCCACTACACTATTTAAGATAGAGTGGTGCCCTCTAGTGGACTGTGCCAACATTACAATACTGAAAGTACAGTCATGGCTAAAAGTTTTGAGAATTTGAGAAAGATTCAAATATTAATATTTACAAAGTCTACTGCTTCAGTTTTTATAACGGCAATTTGCTAATACTCCAGAATGTTATAAAGAGTCATCATGTCATGATCGTACAAAGGTTCAGACCCAAATGCAGAAAACCGAACAGGGAGACCAGGGAGAAGGTTTAACATGTTTTATTGAAGAGGTAAAACAGAGAGAGAAGTGTTGCTCTGAACACTGTTCAACCGGAACTGAAAAGTAAGGGGAAGATACAGCGGTTAGTTCAGGCTCAGTGGGGAATTTGACTCGTGAACTTGGAGAAGAGGATTTGGTTGCTGACTCACGTTTCCATAGAAGTTGTTGAATCCTTGACTCCTGTCTGTGCTGTAGTTCCAGTGTTTGTCTGATTCGTTGGAGGGCGGAACAGGGTTTTCCCAGAATGTGGTTGTTAGTAGGTGAACGGAGAAAGTGACTGCCACTCAGATTTCCTTCGGTACTTGAACGGGTCGTAATGGAGATTAATCCCGTTCTCAGTGCGAAGCTCAAACGATCTCTTAGGAAAGTGGATCCAAACCTCCAGTTTGAACCCCAGCTCAGTTTGAAGCTCAGTTGATCCTTCCAGGGAGAGAAGGTCCAAGAAACCCAGTTTGCAGGATGACTTCCTGCCAAGAGGCAAAGACAAAAACAAAGTTAAACTCAGGTTGACAAAAACTCAGTTTGACTCAGCAAAACTCAGCTTGGCTAGAGTACCCAAAAACTGGCAAACACTCTGGCGTCGAGGTAGTGGCAGTCAGCAGCTTAAGACCAGAACCAGGTGCCTCCTGGTTGATGAAGGGAGACAAACACAGAAACACAGACAGAAAAACAGGAGTCCTGACAGATCAGTGTAACAGCAAAAGAAAATGAACTTTATCCCCCAAAACACATTTCAATGTGATTGTAGCCCTGCCTTAAAAGGACCAGCTAACATCGCTTCAGTGATTGCTCCAGATATTACTTTGATGGAACAAATATTTCATCTAATAAACCTATTAATATATCAATGATCTACAGTAGTAACCATTCAAACTTTCCTTGATGGGCCCTTGGCTGGTCCCCTAAGATTCCTTTTCTTAAACATCAATCTTGGTACTAAAATATTATTTCTGTCTATCTATCAATGATCAGAAGTTGATTATTTGTTGATATCACAAGTATAGTGGTATCAGAATAAAGTATGTGCTAAATCCTAACCCATACCACAGGCATTCTGACTTTTCTCTCTTTAGTTTTCTCTGTTTTAGTGTGTCACATAAGATCCCTTTAAAACACATAAGTTTTTTTGTTGGAATGTTGCAAAATGTGAAAAGGTTTCAAGAAGTATGAAATCCTTTGCAAGGCCCTGCATGAAAAGCCCAATGCTCTTACATCAGCTTGTTTTGAAAAGGAGAATTCAGTACAAAACACGCCGCTCAATGCCCAACAAGTCCTATAGAAATCAGAATAACTGAAACAAGTTGTTTACTTCTACCTGTTATTCTGCTGGGGTGAAGCTTTCGAAATTCAACTCGTCTGAAAGATTTTGAGCTCAATGAAAGCGGAGGATGGTTGTTTGTTGAACTGGGCTGTGACGTACAAAGAATATGATTTAATTTTCCAAGAATGCTTCTCGTTCTCATGCTCAACAGATTCGTTGGTGACCTCTGAGGGGAAAAAAGGCTCACTAATTATTCAGTTATTAGTGCAAAGCTATTCTCATGCACAGAGTTGCCCTTTATTAAGGACCTTCCAACTGGCCTTGCACACACACACTGTTGTTTCATGAATAAACATTCATACTCATATATCCTCCTCCTACTTACCCTGCATCGTTCTTTAGCGTCTCTCTCATCCTGCTTTCTCTCTCTGCGACTGTGATTAACTCTCATTGTCTGTTCAAGGTTACGAACACGCACACACTCATATGTGCTCAAGCGTCTCTATGACAACCGCTGCTCCCACACCCATCTCCTCAAAGCCAGCAAAGCTAATAACTTTGAAAGCTTTGAGGCGTTTGCACGTGTGAAAGGTCCCATGTTCGTATGGAGACGTGATGCAAGAGAGAGAGACTGAGGAAAAAATGACACACACATAAAAAGCAAGATGAATTAATCAATCAATCTTGTTTTTCCAGTGTCAGTGAGAGTATGTAACATTTTTTCTAAGATAAACTTGAGTACAGATAGGGTTATGTGGGTATGTGTGAGGACAGTCAGGCTGTGACGGATGAGGTTATGAGAGCTCAGCAGGAAGTAATCTCAGTAGCAGATTGGAAGCCTGGGGTCTCTACAGGTTGCAATGGGAGGGATGCACACAGCTGAGGAGATGAAGGTGAACCGAAGGGCACTGTACCCCTCGCATCCTCACACATCCTTCCAATTCGGTTTGTTTTACAGGAAATGCAGGTGGAGGAACTCTCTGCTGTCAGACAGACTCTACAGGCTGACCTAGAGACATCGATCCGCCGCATCGCTGATCTGCAGGCCGCCCTGGAGGAAGTGGAATCCAGCGATGACAGTGAGACTGAAAGGTAGTTAGCTCCATGCAGGATAGCTCTCATATCACACCAACATGCAGTATCCCTGTGTTTACACTGAACCTTTGACCACTGTGCTTCTAAATGCAGCGTTCAAACTGCTGTGGAGTCTTTTACTCGCAAAAGAGATCTGTAAGGAACTGCTGAGTGGGTTTGAAGTGTTGTATTTGTGCTTCACAGGTTTGCTCATGTGATGCAAATACAGAGTATAACATTGTACTCTGACGAACAGTTGTAGAATGCTCATTATGAAGTCAGAATTCTGCCAAAAGTGTGACCAATTTTTTTTTAAGCAAATGTCCAGTCAGCAAGGAATGATCAATGGATCATTATTTATACCTAAAAGTAATATGTTTGCGGTGATTTAATGAATTTAGCATTAATCAGTAAAAAAAAAAAGAGTTTTCTTCGAGATCATTGAGTCTGGGAGCGGCCATTTTTGCCCAAATATGGTAGCACCTCGCTCCCACCATCTTCCGGCAGTGACGTCACGGTGCGGTAAGCCTAGCGCCATTCTCCCCGCTTTACAAGCTAAATCAATGGGAACTACTAGACACATCTGCAATCAACAACAATTATTGAAGATTTCCAGAGGACTTCACCATGGAAATTCACCAGAGCTCTTACTCTTAATTAAAAACGCTTATCATTTATTGCACAATATGTAATAATTCCGTACTTAAAGTACACACACGTTTGAATTCTCCTTTTAAACTGGCACGTAAACTACTCTCAGGCGCATTTTGAATGTTTGTTGCATTTAAGCTAAATACCATGAGGTACGTCCCCTAATATAGCATACACATGACTGCATGCTCCTACTCCGATTTGTCACTTTGAAAAAGTAGCCAACCTGAGAAAGAAAACCACCTGTGATTGGCTACTTTAAAAAATATTGTGGCTCTTCAAACAGTACTGTTTTCTTCCTAGATGAGACTAGTTATGTTAGCAAAGCATTTGTCAGCTGATGACATAGATAGTTGTTAGATATGACGCCAGAACACCGATTAGCCATAGAGTGCTTTGCTAACATTAGTAGCTAAACCAGGAAGAAAATAGTACTATTTTAAGAGTTAATTTCCCTAAAAGCAGCCAATCACAGGCAGCATATCAGGTTGGTTCCACCCTCACAGAGACCCAAGTTGGCACAAGCTCACGGAAACAGATCCGTACAGCGCGTAGCAGAGAGGCTACAGCCGCTTAAAGAGCAAAGCTAGTGCAGAGAAGGTGTGAGATATATTAAGGGGCTCAAGGTATTGAATCTGCAGGCATAAGACTTTCAAAATATGCTTGGAAAGGTGTTTACGTGGTGTTTTAAAGTCATAGGGAAGCGGCTGTTCCAATCATTTAATTTCCGAATTCTCCCGAGTGGAGCACGACTTTACACGAGTGAATAAAGTGAATGTGATTGGTCGTTTATCAAGGGGGCGGGATTGTTGTGGCGGAAGGTTCGCAATCAAGTTTGGTTGTGGCTGGTTTCTCAAAAGCATCTTGCTAACCAGTTAGCAACTTAGTGCTAGTAGGTTCCCAATGGGAAATTCCATTGGGACCAAGTAGCACTAAATTGGTGACTTAGAAACGACACTGTCAAGGAACGCTATGGACAGAGGAAACATGCAAGAGGAGGAGAGTTTAGTGTCGGAGGCCGTGGATGAGTCTCCTCCATCATCCATTTTTTATTTAGAGGAGGAAAGTGGGACGAAGATGTTGTGGAAGAGGACGCCAGGGCGGCAGACGCTTGGTTTGGTGTAGAAGGCTTACAGCCGTACATGTTTGAGCCCTTGCCTCGCAACGCTGCCAGTTCTGTTAGCTCTACGCCTGCCGAAGACACAGACGTCCATCCCTGTGAACACTGGGACGGAACTCAATGGGAAAGGAAATTATTCTTATTTCAACCGTTGCGTATATTAGCTGCGACATATGAATCAAGATGCTATGACCGAAAAAATGTTATTGACGGATGACTGTTGATTGTGATTGGCTGAATTTAGGTGTGCAAGCTGACGTATAACTAACTGGCCTGCATTAAAAATAACGAGAAAAAAGAGATTTTAAGACACGATTTTAAAAAAAATAGAAATTTTCTAAATTTTGGGAAAATATCATCCGATAAAGAGTTCATTTATATACATGTTTAAGCCAGAATGATTTGACATTTAAATATAACTTCCCTACGACTTTAAATAAAACAAATTTGATGAGTATTTATCATAAATGTGCGCTTTTGAAAGAATTTTGACCTCATAGCTCGTTAGTGAAAAAAAAATTGTTAGAAAGAAAATTCCTGATTTTACAATTCTTTGTGTTTATTCAGTTCAACAGTCACCATAACATTGTACTCACCAGAGATGCTTCTTGGCTGAGGAACAGAAGTATCCAGTTTCTGGTTAAAGCATGGCTTATGTTTTAAAGATGTACATTTTGTGGTCTCTTAAGTAGCTTTAGTTTAATTTTTTTGTTCCCATCAGGAAAGGTTTGGACATGACTGATGTGAAGAGCTAAAAAGCCTTGACTGTTTGGAAAAACCCAGAATTGGCAACAAATTGTCATAGTGGACCTTGACCTCCCCAAACTCTTATTATCTAGAAGCAAACATGTTTCATATTCAGTTTTCAGGTTGCAGATAAAAATACTTATTTAGCACACTTTAAAGGATCCATGACTAGCTAAACATGTGGGCCTAAATATGTTGTAATTTTCCTATAAATTTCAAATTTGATGTTTGTGATATCTAAAATCCCTTTCTATTTTTTCATCCATGTAAGTCTGCAATTTCTTTCACCCGTGAAATGCATACTGGGCAGATTAGGTTTTATTGGACTGGAGACTATAAAGTAAACACAGGAAGGCTAACATTTCCAAAGTTGCTATTTGTCGTATTTGACTGGTGTAAATTTAGACAGTGATACAATGTTTTCACAGTTTCATTAGATATCTGGTGAAACAAATAAATGTAGTCGGCTTTTGATCTACTGTTTACTATAATCAAATCAATCAATCAATCAATTTCTTTATTGTCAACTACAATTTGCATTGTAATCGAGATTTCTGTTTCAGTACAAACGTTACATCACATACATTGGAGCGGGGTGGGGGGGCCCAACATTATGACCCAAACTCAGTTGTTTTTTTTATGGATTATACTCTAGGAGCCTTTTAAAAACACTCCCCGCTGCAAATGTCAAAATAAAGGTTTTCCATTTACACTTTAATATTGTATCTTTTGACCTACTAACAGGCAAAAAGTGTGATTTGACTATTGCAAATTGATTCTAAATACTTGCTGTGTCAGACCCTTTCTTTAACACACAACCCTGCTAGACTTTCAAAGTAAGACTCCAGGGATCTAAAAAATAAAAGCTTCTTTAACACACTGATTCATTGCAGCATTTGACTCAACATTATGACCCAAACTCAGCCTGTTTTTATAAATTAGACTCTTTTATTGTTTTCAAAATGCAGCCCACTGCAATTTTCAAAATAAAAGTCTACCATTGCCACTGCCATAAAGCATTTTTTAAGATAATAACAGGGGAATAGACTGATTTAACAAATGAAAATAGTTTCTGTATCACTGCTGGGCGTGACCTTTTCCTTAATACGCAACCCTACTAGACTTTCATAATAAGACACCACAGACCCTACAAAATAAAAGCCTCTTCATTATTCACACTAATTCATTGCGGAATGAGGCTCATTGTTTTGACCCCAACTCAACCAGTTTCTTGAAATTAGACGACCAAGGCACACTTGAGTGCAACTTTCTAAATAAAGCACTTCTATTTCCTCTGTAATAAAGCATAGACTAATCTAAAAATAAGGAAAAACAGAGATTCAACAATTGTAAATCAATTCCATGTCTCTCCAGAGGCTGACTCTATGCTAAAGACACAGCCCTGCTAGGCCTTCAAAATAAAACAACAGGTCCTCTACAAAATAACAGCCTATAATATTTACTCAGCAATTTATTGCACTATAGGGATTACCGTAACTACGACCATGTCTGGTGACACCAGTCACCAGTAGGTGTGACGTCAGCTGCAACTAGCTGTTGCGACATCAGTCGTCCCCTAGGTGTGTCAATGCTAGTGCCAACAGGTGTTGTGAGGCCAGTCCCCAGTAGGTGAGGCGACGAGAGTCATCACTCACTATGCTGATGCTAGTTGCCATCAACCATGAACAAGCAATTTGCCACCTGGTATGGTCATATATGCCAATGTATGGTGAACTCAACTAACCCCATTAAGCCTTTAGTGCCAGTCCAAATATTACAAACATACGTATATGAACCAAGTGGCAGGCACCTCAAAAATTTCCTTGGGGAAGTTTTCCAACATCTTCAACACTTTAGGTCATAAAGAGTAACAGCATAGTTACTTTGGCCAGTAATAAGTTAATTTCACTGAGCAGTAACTGACTAACTAAAACTATATTCTTTCCAAACACTGGTATTCATACCATTTACTTAAGCCAGAGGTCCTTTTGAATCTGAACCAAGTTTAGCTCAGCTGTCTTTTGGCAGTTTTAACAATTCTTAGTAAAACATGTGGAGGGCGGCATCTCTCCTGCAATTTTCAGACCTCTCTTGAAATGTTCAGTCCGATCCAAGTCTTAGTTCTGATAAACCACATTGAGATCTTTGCTCTGTGTTTTGGATTGTTGCGCCAGCCTGAAGTCTGAAGCGCTCTGGAGTAGGTTTCCATCTTAGAGAGGAAATACAGTAGATCCATATGATCATGACCCAGATTATTTCCTGAGGAAGATTAATCCTCAAAGTCTGCAGAACTTCTGCATATAACTTAAAATGAACAGACTTTAACACAGCTGTTCAGTGTTAATCTTTTGTTAATTAAAAATGAAATGGAATAAACAAGAGACCATATCTCCTGTCATATTTATCATTTTCAGTTTTTTTGTGTTACAAAGCTTCATCCTGTTTCTCAGCAGACAGCGTGCCGGTCAGACCACCTCTGCTGCACATCTGAGGAAAAGTTTAGACACTCATGGCTATGTCAATAGCAGAAACTGGCCTAAAATACACATTCATCCCCTAAGAATGCAGATGTAGCAAATGCAGCTATTAACATCTTAGCCATTTAAAAAGCTTCAAAACCTCTAAAAATCACAGAGCCATTGAGAGCAATCATCCCCTCCTACACCAAACTAGCAGCATTACTTCAGGAGCTCATCAGTGGGCCATCCAGGAGGTCTCAAGTAAACCAAGCACATCATAAACAAAGCCTTGCTAAAAAAAAAACATCAGTTGCTTCAGTTAAAGTCCATGATAATGATTTAACAAAAAGACACCCACAGGGGAACATATGTCATCAGCAGGACCATCTCGCAGTAAAAAAAACATCTCAACACAGAAGGTTTTGGTACAATCAAAGGCTGTATTTCAATCCCCTCAATGCTCAAGAACGTGTCTGATACGTTACGCTTCAAACTTGGAAACAGAGTCCAGTGGATTGTTTTTAACTTTTTGGAACAACTAGTGGAGTCCTAACTATAAACCAACACCGTCCTGTAGTGAACTCATCTTTAGTTGTTTAGTTGCAGTCATGTCTTGTTACCAGCTGTAACATGCTTGCATGTGTGTTGCTGCTGATGATGCTTGGCTGCTTGCTCTACAAGGTGAAGGGAGATCCTGTCTGTTAAGATGTCCTTCTTCATCCTACAGTGACTCTGTGTCCAGTGTTGGTTCTGTTGGCTCCAAGGATGTTGGGGAGGGCAATCGGTCCCGTAGAGGTGGTTCTCCCTACAGCAGCCAAGATGGCCGTCAGTCTGTCACTGATACCATGAGCACCTACAGCTTTCGGTAAGTTTCTTATTTTCTTTTAACTTTAAATGGATTCATGACTAGTTGAGCATGTTGGCCTAAACATGTTGTTATTTTCCTATTAACTTAAAAATGGTAATTTGTTATATGTCAAAACTCATAATTACTTAAAGCCATTTTGTCGCCGGTGCAATGCATGCAGGGTGGATGGTGTTGTTAGGTCTTAACCTCTTACACCCTAAGGGGTATAAATAAATTTCTGCCTGACAAAAACACACAAAAGTAAATCACTTATAGCCTCACAGCTATTAGATTTAAGAAGAAACTTTTGGTCCCTCTGTAAAGGTAAGATGTCATAGAATGGTTTTCTGGTGTCAGCACCATTGTAGCTTTGACCCTGCCTGAAATATTAGGGACCAAATACAAAATATTTTGCATTTTTTGAACCTCGCCAAAATTTTCTTTGAAATAAACATTGCAAAACACTACCAAAATATTATTTACAAAAAAGTAGTACAGACGTTTAAATCTAAATGTTGTGTAAAAATATACCAAATTTGGACTCAATCAGATGAATCATATTTATTTTAGAATGGTATTAGTGAGAAATTTCTTAGGCGGAGGGGCCATTTTGGCACATTTATCCAAAAATGTCACCAAACTGTGCCAAATGTGTTTTTTACATCAATACTGGGGGTTTGTTAAAATTACGAGGTCACGTAGCAGCTGGACCCACCGGTGGGTCCGTAGGGTTCTAGGGGTTAATGAACTGAAACCCACAGAGTAAACACAGGAAGGATAAAATTACAAGTTAAAGTTGTTTTTATTGTTTTATCTTTGAAAGGGTGTAAATTTAGACAATCATACATTGCGATGCAGTTTTCATTAGCACATGAGATATCTATTTAAACAGACAAACATGATTGACTTGTGATCTACTGTTAATCATCAGTACTTTATAGAAATACCTAATACATTTTTTATCCATTTAATGTATCCAGGTTGCACAGTAATTATTAGTTATTTTAAGTACATGTTATTACATCATGTTCTACTCACCCATTTGAGTTTTGTGTCATTTGGAGCTGTTCTGAAGATATTCGGTTTAGTTATATCCAAGTAACGTCTTCTTATGGGCAATGAGTTGAAGCCACAAACTGTTCATAACTTATTCTTAATGGCACGCCAGCATTCATAGTATGTAGTGCAACGATTGAAAAAAAAAATCTTACAGTGTATGCCCGGCTTTAGCGGGAGAAGATGATGGATGGAGGGATGGCTTTTTAAAAGAAAATAGCTTAAAGTGCTCAAAGTTCTGAACACTGGACTGCTTTCTTCAGTTTTCTTTCACTACTGGCAGCAGAGAAGCTCACTGTAGTTATCAATAATATTCATCCCTGCTTTACAGAAGGATAGAGAGGAGCGCACACGGTTGGTTTTTAAAAATAAAATAAAATTTAACAAAAGGTCTGGCTGCTTTTATTTTGAAGTGACGATGCCCCACGATCGCCTACATGTAGTGGAAAACCTGACTTTTTCTGTTTGCATGTTTGTTTTTCTTATTGTGATGTTCTGTTTATATTTATCTATTTCTCTTGTAGCGGTACTTTGTGCAGTAAGAGCTGTTGCACTACTGGGCTATAACAATAAATTTGACCTTGACCTTAAAAAACACGTATGGGTAAACAGCTGAAAAAACTTTATCATATTTTAACCTGTCTTCTGGATGATTCTGACTTAATGATCAGGTCTTTTTTAAATCCTCCTCACCGCAATCCTAATCTTTAGCTCCGTCCACAGATTCACCAATAGATTCATGTCTGGAATCCTAAAGGGCTGCAACAAAACATTAATATTACCACAAATCAATAGAAAGATTGATGAAGTGGAAACAGCTTTAGACCTGAATCTGAAGTGACTCATTTTGGGCTTTACTAACCAAAGCTACTGTGTCTTTCTGTGTTTACCTACAAATAAGCAGTACGCGTTAATATTTTCTTATATGTCATAATGGATTGTTGTTCAAATAGGTCTCCTTTGCATTTTAATAAGAAGAGAAAGGCTCAGAAGTAACCAGTGTTATTTTCCCTGAGGTGTTTAAAAATAAAGTCAGGAGCAGGAACAGAGGATTAAAAGCTTTTTGGGGATTGCTGTCCATGGAGGAATGGCTACCTTTCATTTGGGCTGTTAGTTTTAAACATGTCTATACAGACTTAACCTCACTGTTACGGCTGCTCATAGCTAGAGCTCTTGGAAAATAAAGGAATGGAATGAGATCAGCTACGGTTGTATGGAGTTATTGTTGCAAACAAATAACTCCTTTTGTGAAGAGAAATTCATACATTTTATTCCAAACAACTTTTAAACTCTTCTTATTAAAAAGAAAAAATAAGTTATCAGAGTAACTTCTCATTTTTCTGAGTTTGTTTTTTTTTCTCAAATTATGTAACTTTTTTCCCCAATTTTGTTGTTTTTCATTTCTCTTTGTCATATTATTGGTTTTATAAATTTCATTTATTTATTTATTTTTTTTCAAATTTCATTTTATAGATCACATTTTTTTCCTATTTGGGGCGGGCTTTCCCCTGGACTGAGTCTAGAAGACACATTTCTATTGCTCCGCTGGACATTTTAACTGGTGTTGTGCAATTTTTCCGGAAGATTCTGAATATATGAAATAACTAGAACTGGGAGTTATAGCTAATTAATAGATCATTCAAATCAAGGGTTAAACCAATTAATGATTATTAGTTAATTTATTATAACTTTCATTTTGCTTAATCACCAGGGGTGTTAGTCTTTTACATAAAAGGTTGGACTTCTGGATTAGCTGTTTAAAATCCAGTTGCCTTCACTAATTTAGTAACTCAGAATATTTCGATCAGCAGTTCACTCTGTTCATTCAGATGTTCCTCAAAATTAGGGTGTATCTGACCTGACTGATTAATTATTCACTGCATAAATAAGCAAAAAAGACCACGGTTTACTAGCTTTACTAGCTAATAATCACACATTGTTATTGTATCACTAAACACTGATGTAAATAGATACAAGTAAATAAAAGCAAATAGAAAGGGGAAAGGGGTTTTAAGAGTCCGTTCAAAAGTCTCTGAGGAATGTTTAAGTCTTAACGCTTATTGCACTTATGTGTCCTTTTAAAATAGCTGCAGTTAAGTGAGAATAAACACAGATGTAGAGAGACTAAATGCAATCAAAACCAAGTTTCAATCAGTTTTACTGTGAGAAATGAACAATGACTCAGGAATGCATTAATATATAGTAGGGCTGTCAAAATTAACGCGTTAACGCAAGATGATTAATTTCTGGAATTAACGCAATATTTTTTTTAACGCGTTAACGCAGTCCCGCCCTGTTTTACCCACAATTCAATTGTCCGGCATGAGCTAGAAAGAGGAATCAGAAGAACCCGTTGGCCCGCTGGATGGACAGTTCGAGTATAAAAAAAAAACGAAGACGGGACAATAAATAAGCATGTTGTGGTTTGGACTTTTCATTTCACCGAAGCGCCTCGAGCCTTAAGTATCATCTTAATGCCAAGCATTCATTTGTTGGGGCTTCAACTTCAGCTGTTAGGACAGAGACCACCCTCACCGAACGCAGGGCATTAAGTAACGGTCCGCTTTACATTCAGAAAATATAAACCAGTTAGTTTGCCTTAACAACTGGCTAAAAGATGAATAAATAATAGGTAAAATGACCTCATGTAATTGTTTAAAAGT